TTTTGAGAAGGACCTGTATATATATATATATATATATATATATATATATATATATATATATATATATATATATATATATATATATATATATATATATATATCCATGTATTTATTTATTTTTATTATTTTTTTCTTTTTTCTTACATCCCTGTTCTCAGTTTGACATTTGGGGTTGGGTGCGGGGGGGGGGGGGGGGGGGCCCCCGGGGGGGGGTCTGGCGTTGGGCCTTGGGGGGAAATTGGGGGCGGGGCCGGTGCTCTGGTTCTCCCTGGGTTGTTTGGATCTTTTGATCAGGGTTCCTGATTGCGGTGGCCAGCCCTTTGGCTGGGGTGGCTTCCAGGTTCCGGCGGGGGGGTCAGCTGTGGTTTGTGTGTGTGTGGTCGTTGGTGGTGTATGGCGGCGGTCGAGGCGTGGCGTTGCTTTGACAAAGCGCTGGCTGGTCGGCCTGGTGTGACATTCGCGGTGGGAGGGTCCTGTGTGTATGTGGGGGGTACGTGGGTGGCGTACTGGGGCTTCTCCGGGCCTGTGGTGTGGGGCTGTTGAGGTGCCTGGTCCTTGGTGCACTGGGCCAACCTTCCTCAGCTGCTGCTCTAACCCCCAGCAAGGGGCCAGCTTGCGGTCGTTGTCGAGTGAGTGGACGGCCTGACAGCGGCTTTGTCAGGCTGTGTGTGGGTGTGCCTGTTCAGGTCTCGGATTGGGTTTTAGGTGGTCCCCTCTCTTGGATTAATTTGGGCCCCCCATTTAATGTGGGGTCTACTTCCCCCTGTCGCGCTCCCCTCCGGTGGTGGGCCCCCCTGCCGCCGGTGCATTGGCAGCTCTCAGCATCTGGGGCTGGGTGGTGAGGTGTGTGTGGGCCCGCCCTGGTGGCTGCCTGCCGGGGCCTGGGTGCCCTGGCTCTGTTGGGCCTCTGTTGGGGGGTGGTATGACCTTGGGACTTTGTGTCCATGGCATTATATGGAAAATAATGACCTTTATCACAATATGCTCATTTTTGGAGAAGGACCTGTATATGTATATATGTATATATATATATATTAGGAGTGCGAATCTCTCAGTGTCTGGCATTCTGATTCGATTCAGATTTTTGGTGTCACGATACGATTCAAAATCGATTTTTCGATTCAGAAATGATTTTTGTATTGAAATGGTATATACTTTAAATTATAATGTATATGTAACTGACAAGATGAAAAGATTAAACAACAATGTAAATAGAACATTCATTTAAAACAATAATTTTAGGTTCTTTACTGTATCAAATATTTTTTATTCATTTTATCTTTATACTAAAAATAGGTAAAAATGTAGGAATGCATAAAATTCTGTAACTTAAATTACCAGTATTAGGTTAGCTTAGTTGCCTGACTTAAAAAAAAAAAATCTAGGAACAAATAATTCATCCGTCATCTTTATCCACTTCTTCCTTTTCGAGTCACTGGTGTCACTGGTGCCCATATCAGTTTGTCACTGTGTGAGAGGCGGGGGACACCTGGACAGGTCTCCAGTCCATCACAGACAAATAATTCAAAATATATAAATATAAAAGTAAACAGACTTCAGCCTACCGTAGTACATTAACCTTTAACTCAACATGAAATACAGACTTCAGTTATTTTTAACCATGTTGCTCTAACATTTGTTATATTTTCAAAAGTTAACTTAATATGAAATATACAGACTTCAGTCTTAACCATATTGATTCATGTTTAGTAAATCTTTAAATTTCAAAACCTGTGCAAGTTTGCACAAAAACCTCTTCTGAACTATAATTTATACCTGAACTGAACTGAACTGAACTATATATTTAAACCATAAACTGCATCATTTAGATCTGGCTCCAGATGTTTCTCGTCTCTTCAACCTGTTAAAAAGACAAATTACATAAAGTTTGTTGAACAACTTGTCTCTAAGTTTTAGTTTAATGTGAGAAATAACAGTTTCCTTTGATCTGCAGCTTCATCAGAGCTTCTAACATTTGTTGTTTCATGGTGAAGTTGTGGAGCTGCTTATCGCAAAGAAAATAAATGTACATGAAGGAATAACGTACGTTGAATCCATCGTATTAAAATAAAGCTGAATCCGTCACTGAGCTGTGTGATCATGAATCCTTTGTGATGCAGCAGGAGATGGAGAGGGAACTCTTCACAGCCTTTGGGGGAATCACCTGGAAGTTCGTTGCACAGTTCGCTGGTCGGCTGCTTCGCTTTCATCTTCCGTGAATTTTGTCGTATTTCCAAAATACTGCCCCGCAATTTTATTTAACACTTCTTGTAAACAGCTGTGCTCTTGTTCAGCTCTGTCCTCCCCTGGAACCTTGTAGGATCTGAAATGACTTTTAAAGACGAAGAGGCGGGTTGAATCGCGCTGTCTCCCTCCTCCATGCTAGCAGGCTCCATTCAGATAAAGGGAGCTGGCTAACTAGCTGCTGTATGGTGGCCTACATGGCTCAATTCTACAGCGGCCGAACAGGGAGTAAGAGCGGAAAAAATATCAAACTTAGATGCATTTTAAAATCGATTTATGGACCTTTAGAAACGATTCAGAATCACCAGGACTAAGAATCTAGATTCATCAAAAAAACGATTTTTTTCTGCACCCCTAATATATGTGTATATATATATATATATATATATATATATATATATATATATATATATACACACTGCAGAGCCATCCTCTCAGCAGCTGTGCAGCTGCCGTGCCACACGGTGATGCAGGTGCAGAGAATGTTCTCCATCACACAGTAATAGAAGCACCTCAGGACAGAGCTCCCAAGTCCAGCTCTGCACAGCTTCCTGAGGAAGTAGAGACGCTGATGGGCCTTCTTGATCAGACAGGAAGTGTTGGCTTTCCAGGTGAGGTCACTGGATATATGCACCCCCAGTTACCTGTAGCAGGAGACCACCTCCACAGCTCCTCCTCTGATGTGTAGGGGATGAAGATGACCCTTGTCCCTTCTGAAATTCACCACCATCTATTTGGTCTTCTTCACACTGATGCAGAGATTGTCTCTGAACCAGGTGTTCCTGGTTCTTCACCACTTCACCACTTGCTCTTGCCGAGATCGGATGCTTCTCCCCTCCCCTTCCTCTCCGCTTTGCTTTGCTGCTCTGTCTGTGAAACTGCTGTGAGCCTCTCTTGCATCTTCTGAACCATAATTATGGACCTGTTTTGACCAGTTGGTCCCTCAACTCAATTTACAACATTTCTTCGAAGAGAAGACAGGCTTTAGGTGAGCCAATTTACCCTGTTGGCACGCAGCTGGATATCTCATTGACTGGAAGACTTGATGATGCATCTTATCTCTGTTGCCATCTGTGGATTTTAAGGACGCATATTTAATTGGATTCACAATAACTGGTTCCTGCTTTTTGGATTCGGCTGGTGCTGGTTTTATCTACAATCAAGGAAGTTGTCGGCAGCAAATTTGGACCCGATCACGCTGCTTGCCTTTTTGATGGCTTGGTTCATGTCTCGTGTACCCGGATTCAAATGCTTTGGGCTGAATGGATCAGATCTTGGGTATTTTTCTCAGTCACATTCCACCGGTGTAGCCATGTTAATTTGGACATTTCGGAACCGAGTGGACCAACACAGATTGAAGGTAGATGTCATTAAGTTCTGCCTGTCCCCAAAACAACTGTGTGTTTATCAGAATTTGGCTCCCTTGGCTGGTCTTGAAGGCCATCTTATCTGAATTCACCTGGAGAACATGTGATCTGACGCTCACCACCCCCTCCCTGAGGAATTTCCAACTGATAACCAGATGAAACCAGCTGAATAAACTTGTGTCATCATTTCAGGACTCTTGGATTCTCATAGACGTTATTCTTGGCCATTCCTCGACATACCTTGAGAATGTTTATGGATCTCACCGGAGGACATTGACTGATTTTTCTATCCTTATCAGAACTCTTACAGTGACCTCGAGAGCATCTATGACCATGCTGACCGCTCTCGCCTCCCCCCTCTCAGAATGTCTACGTCAGTATGTGCTTGTTTGTGCGAGGTGTTTTTTAATATCAGGTTTTTTTTCTCAGGCAGGAAAAAAAGTCTGATAGGAATTTTTTTGCCTCTTTTTTTTTCATTTATTTATCCTTTACTTATACAGGTAGTCTCATTGAGCCACGAGAACTCATTTTCAATAGAGACCTGTTTAGGGAGCAGATGGTGGGGGTTAGGGGCCTTGCTCAGGGGCCCAGGGTGGGGCGAGTGAGGGTGGAGGGAGGTGTGAGTGTTTCACCTTTTCCACCCACATTTTGATGTTGACGCTACTGGGAGGTGAACCTGCGACTTTCCGATCACAAGCCCATCTTCTAACCTCTGTGTCACCACTCCCCAGCCTCTAACTCCTACATGTGTCCAGTTAACCACTGTTTTTGTCTGTCCAAACAGGTCTCACTTGTAAATCAGTCTTTGAGGCTCAATGTGATTTATCTGTTTAAATAAAGGTTGAATGAATGAATGTTCCACTTCCTCTCTGTATTTGGACTCATTATTGTTTGTGATGCGTCCCACTACTGCTGAGTTGCCTGCAAACTTCACTATATGGCAGCTGGGGTGTCTAGCTGAGCAGTCATATGTCAGCCGAGTGACCAGCAGGGGGCTCAGCACACTGCCCTGGGGATGAGCCAATGCTGTTGGTGATGGAGGAGTAGACAATGTTGTGGATCCTGACAGTCTGAGATCTGTTGGTCAGGAAGTCCAGAATCCAGTTCCCCAGTGTGGGACTCAGTCCAAAAAAGGAGAGCTTCTGCACCAGGGTCTGTGGGATGAGGCTGCTGAAGGCCAAGGAGAAATCCAGAAAGAGCTGATGGGTGTAAGAATTTCTGCTCTCTAGGTGGGTGATGGCTGTGTGTACCACCGATGAGATGGCGTCAGCAGTGGAGCGGTTCCTTCTGTAGGTGTACTGATGTGGGTCCACAGTGATGTCAATGTAGTCTTTGATGTGGGTCATGACCAGCCTCTTGAAGCACTTCATGACTACTGATGTTAAGGTTATAGGCCGGTAGTCATTCAGGCCTGTCACTGTGGAGCACTTGGGTGCAGGAATAATAGTGGCGGATTTAAAGCAGGTGGGGAACACTGTGTAGTATGACATATCCTGAGATATATTATACATTAAACGGGTTCTTTCATTTTTCTGGACTGAATGATGTCGTGCATTGAATTTAAATAAAATGTGGACGTGAGACGTTAATTATCTTTGACTCACCATGACAGTGGGTCATTTATTAACAGAATCAAGTTTAACACATCACACATTTACATTAATTGGCAAGAATTGAAAAATAACGACATAATTAATCAGCTTTACAAGCAGGAAAACCATACGGCCATGATTTTCCGTTGCTTCACCACAGACATTTCTGAAAACATCTGGATTAATTTTCTAGCAGATAGGAGAGTTTATAGATGGAAAGATGAAGTTTATCTGAGAGAGATGTGTGAGGGAATTTGTCTGTTTTAACCAGAACGTGCACGCTCCTTCGGAAATCAGCTTGTCCCAACAGTACACTTTGGGTGAAGGTCGACTTTTACCTTTTCTGAAGATAGATCAGTTCCGGCGTGAAGTCCCACTTCGAGCCACTCTTCAGCGTCTCCGTAAGAACAGCTAAAGACCTCGAGAGTCGTGTGAGGTTATCCAAACAGAAGTTATAATTCCCAAAATCGTATCTGGTTCAGCTTGATTCTAATATAGCAGCATCCTGAATGCCTGCGTTCTGCATTCTGGAACTTCCAAAACTCTCTGCATTCTGAATTCCAAAAACTCTGCTTGAACTGCTGCTCCATCTTCAAGACTGAGCTTACAGCAGCTTCAAGACTGAGCTGAACTCTCTGAGCTGAACTCTTCTCCTTGAACTAGGAAGTGCCAACCTTTTAAGAAGGGTCACTTCCGGTTCATTTGAGAGCTTTTTGATTGGTCGATGGACCAAAGCAGAGGTGTGGTTTGTGATGTAAGGTGTTATTAAAAGTCAAGGAAAAGATTCAGATTGTTTAAGAACAGACAGAAAGATATCATGGAAAAACCCAGACTTTGTGGAGCCTCTCACCAAGTATCTTGCTGTAAAAGTTAAACATGACATTTCTTTTCAGTAAACTTTCAGTTGACCGAAACTTGAACTTTGACACACTTACAAATTTGCTCACTTCAAAGCAGACGATCAAGAAATTGAATCATTACTCTGTAACGTACTCTAACTTGATTTCACTTTGAATTGAGGATTAAGAATCATTACTACTGTTTAAGTAAATAAAAATGATTAGTTCACTTCAACATGTAGACATTGTTTGAACCAAAACACTTTGATTATCAAAACATTTGTAAAATAGTAATGATCATAGAGAATTGTCTTTTTCCACTTGATTAATTCAAGAAAGAAAGTCTCAGGATGGGTTAACCTGTATTTCTGGATTCAAATCAATGAAATGACAGTTTCAGTCCCATATGGTCAGTTTTGACATCAGGCCTAGTCCACTACAACTGCCATTGACAGTGAGGTGCTGAAGATGTCCGCCAACACCTCAGACAGCTGGTGTGTGCAGTCCTTCAGTACCCGCTCTGGGATGTTGTCAGGCCTGCAGCTTTATGGGGGTTGATTCCCTGGAGGGTTTTCCTCATATCTGCTGTGGTCACACAGAGGGGTGTGTCACCAGGTGGTGGTATAAGACTGGTGCTGGGGAGGGGGTGGGGGTTAGGATTCTCAAAGTGAGCACAGAACTTAGTGAGTGCATCTGGCAATGAGTGGTCCCTTGGGCATTGTGCATCCCTGATGTTGTATGCTGATCGGCATGTAATTTTTATTTAAAATAAATTATTTTAAATTATTTAGCACCTGCTGCATCCTTGTGCAGCCCATACTGCAGGATAAACTTCCTGCTACAGCTGATCAGCTGTTCACCGTGCAGAGCAGAGAAGTGGGCATGGCCAAGAGCGCTTGCCAGTGGCAAAGAGCACAGGAGGCAGGGAGCTGAAATCAAGACATTCTGTGCTCTTTTAGAGTGTTTAGAGTTTAGAAATATTGTTTAGAATCCAGCAATGTTCATTCAGGTCATCTGGAATATTCCTTTTTTTTAGAGACATTTCGCCCTACATCCGAAGGGCTTCATCAGTCTGAGAAGTCACAAACAAAGTGTTTACCCACCAAGCAGTACACTCCTACAATGGACCAAACAGTTGCTGGTGATGAGATGGTTTCTGGGGGCTGTCCTCTCCCCCGTCGACTCCTCCCAGACAACACAGCCAAAGTGGTTCAAGACATTGTTTCGAATATTGCAAGAGTGTGGGAAGGGTTTAAAATGCCTTAATATATATATATATATATATATATATATATATACTAAAATAAAACTACTACTTACTGCTTGTACTACTATTCCTACTTCACGGTTTTTCACTTATTGTGATTCTTCAGGGTACGTATCCCGCGATAAACGAGGGACTACTGTACAACAAAAATGAACAAGGGGCAGAAAAAAAACCCCACAGTATAAAACAAGGGCAACTCGCCTAATCAGGTCTCTCTTGTAAATGAGTCCTTGAGGCTCAATGGGATTTACCTGTCTAAGTAAAGGTTGAATGATTGGTGATCTTTATCTTAGCTTCTTGTGAGCTAAATCTGCTTTAACTACCAGGTCACGTACGTAGCTCCAGATGAACGAAAAAAACTATAATCAATACACCTCTAACAAAGGTAAAGATTGATGATGATTGTTGTTGATGATTTCTTACTATGAAAATCACTTTGTTCCAGGTTCATAGGGGAGGAGTCAGTGGCTGCAGGTGAGTCTTGCGTCCTCACAGACGAGCCCACTTGGATCATCGACCCAATTGATGGAACAACCAATTTTGTTCATGCGTGAGTAATCCTCATTCAGGCCTTCTTCATGTCACCTGTACAGGTGTGTCAGTTTCTATCCTGCGAATGAGTGGTTTAAACATACAGGTCCTTCTCAAAAAATTAGCATATTGTGATAAAGGTCATTATTTTCCATAATGTAATGATAAAAATGAAACTTTCATATATTTCAGATTCATTGCACACCAACTGAAATATTTCAGGTCTTTAATTGTTTTAATACTGATGATTATGGCATACAGCTCATGAAAACCCAAAATGCCTGTCCCAAAAAATTAGCATATTTCATCCCACCAATGAAAGACAAGTGTTTTTAATACAAAAAACGCCAACCTTCAAATAATCATGTTCAGTTATGCACTCAATACTTGGTCGGGAATCCTTTTGCATGAATGACTGCTTCAATGCGGCGTGGCATGGAGGCAATCAGCCTGTGGCACTGCTGAGGTGTTCTGGAGGCCCAGGATGCTTCGATAGCGGCCTTAAGCTCATCCAGAGTGTTGGGTCTTGCGTCTCTCAACTTTCTCTTCACAATATCCCACAGGTTCTCTATGGGGTTCAGGTCAGGAGAGTTGGCAGGCCAATTGAGCACAGTAATACCATGGTCAGTAAACCAGTCACCAGTGGTTTTGTCACTGTGAGCAGGTGCCAGGTCATGCTGAAAAATGAAATCTTCATCTCCATAAAGCTTTTCAGCAGATGGAAGCATGAAGTGCTCCAAAATCTCCTGATAGCTAGCTGCATTGACCCTGCCCTTGATAAAACACAGTGGACCAACACCAGCAGCTGACATGGCACCCCAGACCATCACTGACTGTGGGTGCTTCACACTGGATTTCTGGCATTTTGGCATTTCCTTCTCCCCAGTCTTCCTCCAGACTCTGGCACCTTGATTTCCGAATGACATGCAAAATTTGCTTTCATCCGAAAAAAGTACTTTGGACCACTGAGCAACAGTCCAGTGCTGCTTCTCTGTAGCCCAGGTCAGGCGCTTCTGCCGCTGTTTCTGGTTCAAAAGTGGCTTGACCTGGGGAATGCGGCACCTGTAGCCCATTTCCTGCACACACCTGTGCACGGTGGCTCTGGATGTTTCTACTCCAGACTCAGTCCACTGCTTCCGCAGGTCCCCCAAGGTCTGGAATCGGCCCTTCTCCACAATCCTCCTCAGGGTCCGGTCACCTCTTCTTGTTGTGCAGCGTTTTCTGCCACACTTTTCCCTTCCCACAGACTTCCCACTGAGGTGCCTTGATACAGCACTCTGGGAACAGCCTATTCGTTCAGCAATTTCTTTCTGTGTCTTACCCTCTTGCTTGAGGGTGTCAATGATGGCCTTCTGGACAGCAGTCAGGTCGGCAGTCTTACCCATGATTGTGGTTTTGAGTAATGAACAAGGCTGGGAGTTTTTAAAAGCCTCAGGAATCTTTTGCAGGTGTTTAGAGTTACGTCGTTGATTCAGATGGTTAGGTTAATAGCTTGTTTAGAGAACCTTTTCATGATATGCTCATTTTTTGAGACAGGCATTTTGGGTTTTCATGAGCTGTATGCCATAATCATCAGTATTAAAACAATTAAAGACCTGAAATATTTCAGTTGGTGTGCAATGAATCTGAAATATATGAAAGTTTAATTTTTATCATTACATTATGGAAAATAATGACCTTTATCACAATATGCTAATTTTTTGAGAAGGACCTGTACACTTGGCATACAGGTTTCTGTATTGTTTATTCATGTGTTTGTTCACAGGTTTCCTCTGGTGGCTATCTCTATCGGGTTTTCCATCAACAAACAGGTGAACTTAAAAACGGGGCGGGAGATCTAATGGGTGGATTGTGGAGTAGACTGTGTGAAGCAGAATTCAGTGGAACCATCTTTAAAAAATATATTCTTTAGCACACTTGGTCAGAAATATTTGGTGATAAATGAGACTTTAGTTGCATTATAAAGAAATGTGACTTCAGAAAGGCTGGAAAATTGTAGAAGTCCATGAGGTCTCCAATGGTGGACTCTACTGAAAAACCATCTCAAGCTGACAGAGGGTCAGCTGAGGAGAATCTACAGAGGAAATTGGCTCTACAGGTGTGAGTTCCTATCTTTCTTGATTTAAAAGATTTAGAAGATATTCTAAGAGTTGAAGTTCATACTGTGTTGGAAATGGTGATTATCAAATCTAAAAAAAAAAAAAACCCCAGCCGGTTCGACCTCAAAGAAATCATTCAATTACATCCAAACTGTCTACACGCACAGATGCTGTTTCCTGCTTCCAGAAAAAGAACATCACTGTAGTGACTGATACACATCAGGACCTATATTGAATTCAAAAAGCGTTCAATACAAAAACAACTGCACTTTATTTCTAACAGAAGACGTTTCGCTCCTCATCCGAGGAGCTTTCTCAATTCAAAGAGCAGAGAGTGAGAGATTCAGGTTATAAGGCTGAGTGAGATAAGACACACACACATATGTAGATTGGCAATTCACACCTAAACACCTTAACAGTAGGTCTTTGTTCCTCTAATTCACAGATGAGGCCCCTCTGTTCCCATCAAGTGTGAAAACTGGCTGGGGATCTGTTTTAAAGTTGCATTATAGGTTTTTGAAAGTGGAAATCTGAGGCCTCCTCCTCTGTTAAGAGACGGCTTTTCTCTTTTTTACATAAATTGCCTCCTTCACCCCCCTCTCAAACCATCTGTGTTCTCGGTCCAAAATGTGCACATTTTGGTCCTCAAAAGAGTGTCCCTTATCTGTGAGGTGGAGGTGAACAGCTGAGTCTTGTCCTGTGGAGCTGGCTCTCCTGTGTTGAGCCATGTTTCTGTGAAGAGGCTGTTTAGTTTCTCCAATGTAGAGGTCTGGACAGTCCTCGCTGCACTGGACCACAGACACTACACCACTCTGTTTGTGTATGGGTGTCTTGTCCTTAGGGTGGACCAGCCTCTGTCTGAGAGTCCTACTGGGTTTGAAATGTACTGGGATCTTGTGTTTGTTGAAGATCCTTCTGAATTTCTCTGATACTCCAGCAACATAAGGGATGACAATGTTTTTCCGTCTGTTCTTCTCCTTTTTCTGTTTATTGGTGTGTTTTGTAGATTTCCTCGCTGACTTGACAAAAGCCCAGTTTGGATATCCACATGTTTGAAGAGCTTCTTGAATGTGTTTCTGTTCCTTTTCCTTATCTTCTGTCTTCGTGGGGACGCGTTCGGCCCAATGGTGTAAAGTTCTGATGACAGAGAGTTTGTGTTCCAGTGGATGGTGGGAGTCAAACAGAAGATACTGGTCTGTGTGGGTTGGTTTTCTGTAAACTTCAATGTTGAGGCTGTCCTCTCTCTCCATCTGAACCAAGCACCAAAAAAGGCAGCTTGTTGTCGTTTGCATCCTCTCTGGTGAACTTGATGTTGTTATCAACCGAGTTAATGTGTCTGGTGAACGCTTCTACTTCCTTGGCTTGGATTTTGACCCAGGTGTCATCCACATAACGGAACCAATGGCTTGGTGTTGTTCCCTCATAGGAGTTTAGGGCTCTCTGTTCCACTTCCTCCATGTAGAGATTGGCAACAATGGGTGACACTGGAGATCCCATGGCACAGCCGTGCTTCTGTCTGTTAAAACTGTCATTGAACTTGAAATAAGTGGTGGAGAGGCAGAGGTCCAACAGGGTGCAGATCTGGTCCGGGGTGAAGTTGGTCCTGTTGATTAAGTCCTTGTCTTGTAGAAGTTGTTTTCTGACGGTTTCTACTGCTTCAGAGATGGGTATGCATGTGAAAAGAGAAGTCACATCATACGATACAAGTTTCTCCTGGGGTTAGTTTCAAGTGTTGAACTTTGTTAGCAAAATTAATGGAGTTCTTTATGTGATGAGGTGTGTTTCCAACAAGAGGAGCTAAAATACCAGCCAGATGTTTAGCAATATTGTATGTCACTGAGTTCATGCTGCTGACGATGGGTCTGAGCGGAGTTCCTTCTTTGTGTATTTTTGGAAGTCCAAAAAGACAGGGAGTGGCTTCCCCTGGGTACAATCTATAATACAAAGATCGATTGATTGTTTCCTCCTTTTCGTTTTTGCAAGTCATCTATCACTTTCTTTTTATAGGTGCTGGTTGGGTCCCTCTTCAGGGTCTCGTAGGTGTTGCTGTCGCTCAGTAGTGTGGTTATTTTTTCCCGGTAATCAGAAGTGTTGAGGACTACTGTGCATCTTCCTTTATCAGCTGGTAAAATGGTGATGTTTTGGTCCTGGCTGAGTGATGTTACAGCTTTCCTTTCCTGTGGTGTGAGGTTTGAAGGAGGTGGTTTGG